CTTTTCCATCACTAAAATTGAAGTGTACAAATATTTATTGCAGTTATATTTATTATTGTTATTATTATGATTATAATATTACTGTTGTCATGATTTTTTTTTTTTAATACATTTAGTTATACATATATCAATTACTATGGAATGTTGGTTTATTGATAAAAATAAAATATTATAAAGAAAAGTGTATATTAATTCAAAAATACGGAGTTTACGAATACTTTTTACAATCACTGTATATACATTGGTTTGTTAGGGTTGCTGATAGTATACCCAAATATTTTGGTAATAATAATAAATATAAATATATTTTTGTTCATTATTGGGTTGCTATTGGTTATAAAATGTATTATTGATGAATAAGAAATTAGCAATTTATTATTAGGTACCTATATTAAAAATTGATTCACCTCTATAAAGCTAAAAATGCAAGAAAATATATTAATAAATATAATTTTAGTCCTGTATTTTAAATGAATGGTTAAAAATCTTTAGTGGTGATGGGGTAAATCCGTGAAAAATTTTGAACATTACTAACTACATTGGGTTTAAAACGACGAATTAAACATAGATTTTGAATCATAGAAAGTTGGTATTTTTAACGGGCAAAGAAGTGCAAGGGGATCAGCAATTCATTAGTATAAAAATAAATAACCTAGTAGGTTCTTGGTTCATATTTATATTTGTGATTGTTAGTTTGAAATTTTCACGTATAACAATTAAACTTATCTTTAATAGAAAAAGGAATTGTTTAATATATACATATAATTATATGCTTTTATTACTATATTCTGTGTTTTAGATGTTGGAAGAATGGATGCATAATCCTCCAACTGAAGGACCCAATTTGCGTGAAAAATCTATATTATTGGTAAAAATTATGCAGCATATTGAAAAGAAATTTCCTGATCTGAATGCTCAATATTTAGATATTATTATTCACATTTATAGGTAATTTTTTTCTAACTAACAATTTTTATGTCTGACATATAACTTGTACCATGTATATGGTTATAAATTTATAATTGACACCAACATTGCATTGTTATTGTTATTATTATAAGTTATAACTATACTTATCATTTTAATAATAACTATTTCAATAAAAATATTTTTCAGAGATGAAGAGTTGCGTAATTCAGAACTTGGACATAAATTGGAAGCAGCCTTTCTAAGTGGTTTACGGTGTTCACAACCTGCTGTTCGTGAAAAATTTTTTACTTTATTCAATCAACAAATTAATACTAGATTGCCTGAACGTTTACTATACATTGTGAGTTCACAAAACTGGGAACCAATGATGACTCATTACTGGATAAAACAATGCATTGAATTATTATTAGCTACAGTTGATCCAAGTAAGAAACTATTTCATCTTGATTTTTTTTAACCCTGACTATAAAAATATATATTATTTTCTATATGTGCTTTAGATTTACCTGTGACATTAAAAGATTCAAATTCATCAACTTCGTCAAAATTACCAACAATTAGAGAATTAGTCAATAACTGTGATACTTCATTCATTGAAGAAATTCTTAATACTAATGAAGACATTGGTGTAAAATCTGAGTATGCAATGGACACTGATCAAATAGTGACTGATAACATAGAAGTTATTGAGGGTGGAAAATTAGAACCATTGATAAGTAGACACATAAAATTTATGGATAATCTAAAAGCAATGAAACTCGGAGATATCTGTTCAGCCATAGCCCAGCTGTGTCATATGGATTCAACTTTAGCGGAAAAAATTTGGCTTGTATTATTTCCTGCTATTTGGGAGTCATTAAATTCCACACAAAAAACTGTAAATACTMAAAATTATTTTAATGCTCCAATACTATTAAATATGTCTACATTTTAACATGTACACATAAATATTAAGTCGTTAAGTAAAATAGTTCTTTAAAAAATTATTGTTTTAGATATTATTACCTGAAATTAATCAATTTATTGTAAGTGGTATACACGTTGTTCAGAGAGACGTTCATCCAAGTGTTATATCTACATTCTTTGAAGCATTATTTCAATGCCAACCAAAAATACATTTTAAACCAAGTGTCATGTTGTATGTTGGTAAATCTCATAATTTATGGCACCGTGTAACTTTGTCTTTAGAAAAAATGATGATAGATAATAACTTTGAAGTAATAAAACAAGATTGTTATGAATTTGAACCAGAAATATCACCACAAAGAGTATGTTCTTAAAAATATCAATTTTTAATTATAAGTTAACTTCATAATAATATATTTTTATAGGACGTCATTGATACATTAGCAGAGATGTATAAACAGCTTAAAGAAGAAGACATGTGGGCTGGTTTGTGGCAAAAACATGCTCAATATCGAGAGACTAAAATTGCTCTTGCGTTAGAACAACAAGGGTTATTTGAACAAGCTTTATCTACTTATGAGTCTTTAATTGAAAAATATCAAAGTGAATTTTCTAGTTCTCCTGCATCAGTCATGGTCTTAAGTGAAGCACGCTTATGGGAATCACAATGGATTAGGTAAATAATTAATTTCCAATGATATATATTTATATATTTATATGCATTACAAAATTGTATGTTAAAGATGTTCAAAAGAGCTCAATCAATGGGACATTTTACTTGAATATTCAAAACTTAATGGTCATCTCAACCCATTTTTAATACTAGACAGTGCTTGGCGTATACCCGATTGGCATGTAATGAATGAAGCATTAAGTTGTGTTGATAATACTTGTCCTAAAGAATTTTTGTGGAAGGTATTAAAAAAATATTTTGTGTTATTATAATTTTCTTATTTTCAAATATTTATTTTTGTTTATTAGATGTATTTATACAGAGGGTTTTTAGCAATTTGTCATCCAGATGATCCAAATTTACCCTATGTTACTCGAAATGTAGAAATGGCTAGTATACATGTAATTAGAGAGTGGAGACGGTTACCGCATATTGTATCACATATACATTTACCATATCTTCAAGCTTCCCAACAGGTAAATAAAAATAAAATATATATTTTTTATAGTTCAATGTGATCAATCATACATTTAGTATTTTAATTCAATTAAATAATTAATTATTTAAATAAAGAAGCCAAAAACCTAGTAATAACTTTGAGATTTCTACATTAATATTTTATTCCAAAACTTACTTTACTCAATACATAAAAAAAAATTATTGGTTTAAATAAATAATATTGATATTGAGTTTAACGAATACAATTATATTAAACAATATATCCATAAGAATAATGTTATGTTTATTTTGATAAATTAGGTTATATAGATGATATAGGAGTGCTGCCACTAGATAATTTCTTCTCAGTCTTTTTCTAAATTGTTATAATTTATAACAATCACCTCGATTAAACAAATTGTACCTTTTTATATAATTTTATTTTTTCAAATAACAAAAAATTAATGTTTATGGTAAAAAGTTACAGGGCTATGTTTTCAATTATATTACAAGTACAGATAGTAATCTACCTCTATTTTATCTATGATTTTGTTCABACATTAATGGATGTATACATATAATCACATTTATTGAATATTTAAGAAAAAAAATATTAAGTACAAAGATAATTTGTTTATTACAACAACAAATTGTATGATTATGATATTTTATTCATTTAATAAATACAAATTATCAATATCATAGTATATATTTAATACATACTATACTGTTAGTACAAAACTACTAAAAATATGAATTATAAAACTATTTAATTATGTAATAGATGAACGTGATTTTGATTCATCTTTGTACATATATTGTGTTTTGATCATAATTTATAAGTACAAATTTAAAATAAAATTTAATATGAAACAAATTACTTCACTAATGTAATATAATATAAAGTTTTAACTTTTTTATATTTTACCCCAATTACAAAATACCACTAATCTCACTTTACTTCTTGCAGTAATTACATTTATGTTAAAATTTAAGATCAGACTTCTTTAATATAATTAAATTTTTTATAATGCATTTTGAAGTTTAGTAAGTAAAAACTTAATATAATTGTTCAAAACATATTAATTTAGAGCCGATCATGACAAGGTACTTAACTTAATTGCAACCTATGTAATAAAGGTTTAATTTTAATTAACAGAAGAGTGTCTAATCTTGTGTTAATTGTAAAATTAATAGTCTATTTGTAAGGTTTATAATAATCAATGAAATACATAATTATCCAATATAATAATACTTAAATATATAGTAATATTAAATTACCTAAAAGGATGATAAGTTGTAAAAATAAAAATAAAAATCTTCAGACGCATAAAGATTTCCATTATTTAATATTATTACTATTGACTTTATTTAATAATAAAAATATACTAWAACAAGGATTGAGTCTTACTCACATTGTGGTTCCATTTTGGTTTCTTGGGTTTTATAGTTTCTATATTTATTTTAAACATTGACCAATAGTCTTGTATATAATGGTAATTGTTCATATTTGATCAAATTGTAGGTAACTGAATCAACACCATCTGTATAAAACCGTTTAGGGCCATTTCTTAGATATTTCATCCTGTTTTCATTTGGTATTTCTTTTTCATGTGTTAACATTGTATACCTTGATATATATGACTGATATCGACAAACTCTATAGCCTCTATGGTAAACTCTATTAAATAGATCATCATCTTCACCACCCCATCCATAAAACACATTTGAAAATCCATTAATGTCATGAAATTGTCTTCGCGTCATTGAAATAGCACCACCAAATATAGTATAATATGGTAGTTTATAATTAAAAACATTTATACTAGTACTCATGTGTCTAGGACAGCTTGTACAACCATAAATATTATTGATATTTTCTGGCAATAGATCAACATCATGGAAAATAAAACATCCAGCTAGAGATCGCATTGTTACCTCTCGATAACCAACATTAAATAATTTTCCGCGGTTAAATTCAGCATCAAATGTTTGTTCTACAATATATATTTGATAATGTATATTTTGCTTTTGTAAAAATGAATGCATATGATATAAAAAGTTTTGAAGTTGTTCTGTTCGATTGCGATAGCATACTATGATTGCAGTATGATGTTCAGGTATACAATGTTTTGGCATCCATTCTCCACCTGAGGAAACAAATTGCTTAATAAAGTCAAGTTGTTTACTGCTGACAGTTTTTTGCACGTTTATTAAACTTGTTTCTTCATTAACTTCAACTATTGGGCATGAACTAGCGTTGAGAAGTTCATATTCACCAGCACTAGTCTTAACTAAAAATCTTGGAATATCATTTGAATTTATGTCAATAATTGTTGGAAACAAAATAATATATGCAACAATACCAATGGATAAAAAAATACATATCACACCAACTCTTAAGATCCAATATAATAATACTTTTCTTTTAACATATTTCAAGATGAGATTCATTGTACATAATTTATCGATATACGTCACTAGTTACTAATAATTTAACATTAACAACAATCTAAAAATCACATAATTACGTAAAATATGATAAATTATAAAAATAAAAAATAAACATAAAGTATAAAATATTTTAATCACGGAGACGGAAGAATATTTTTCAGTTTATTTTAGATAATGGTAGTCTTAATTCTTATCTATGTCTATAGTTGCATTTTTTATGAATGATATGATACGGGAAAATACGATTAAATAATTTACAAACATAACCTCAATCTCAATTATTAATAAACCCATGAGGCCATGAAAACCATAGACCTATTAATAATAATAGTTCTATGATGAAAACCATGAATAATATTATATTATAACGATTAAAGATTACTAATTACTATTGTACTTTGAAGTTTGAACCCTAATTGTTTATAACTTATCGACTAATTGGATTTATACTGTCACCTTGGATTCAGCGATATCGAATTTATCACTAGCTCTTGGTCTTCACAAATATTGAAAAAATAGAAGAAACCACCAATGCTTTGATGAGCTGTATCTCACATACCAATCAACGAAAAATAAAAACGTTGGCTTGAAAAAAAATGGTCTTATTAATTCATGATATTTTAATTTTATGTTACCATTTGATTATCAAAAGTTGATAGTGGTTTCACCAATAAATATAATGGTGAAAGAAATTTAAATATTATTCGTTTTTTAAAAACTTAAGCCTAAATAACCTAAGTTTTGAAAAAAAAAATTTAATACTTTTCGAGTTAATTATATTATAGTGTACCTACTTAAATGAATCGCTCTGTATATCGAAGTAATAAATAATTCGCTATAGTTTGGTAGTTTCGCCGGTATTCTGTTCAATTATTTATTTATATGTAACCTCCTGTCTCTTGAACGCTTAGTTTTAAATCTAAACGTATCCATACGCAGATACGTCCAATTTCTTCCTTGAAAATATTGGACCAAATTCTTACAATATCATAGTATTATAATATGCATTACATAATAACAGTGGCGTATTAACCTGTCCAAGAATAGATATAGACATAACCTAATCTAATCTCAGGGAAATTAAATTTTTGTTAACTTATATGGTATATTCCCCCTGTTTTATTCTTTTTTTATGTTCTCCATTTAATAATTATTAAGACTTTGATTTTGGTTGACGCCCTTGTATGTAACAAGACTTTTATTAAATAATTACATTATATAAAAAATAAAAAATTGCGATGACCGATGAGCACACGCTCCAGTGAAGTAGTAATATAATTAATTAATTAAATAAATACAGAGAGAGAGAGAGATTTAGGTTATGTACAAAAAACAAAATAATTAATAATATGTGGCTTGCTTGGTAAACTGCTAAACTGCGAAAATGCTCAAGTTTGTTGTGTGTTGTGTAGTTGTGTGTACGTGTTGCACCCGATGATTGACCACCCGGCTTTTTAGCAACAAACTCTTRCCACACATACATTCAGGGGTGTAATTAAGGGGAGGAATGAGGGGGATAGATCTCCTTAAACATTTATTTTCTGCTTACATTTTATATTAGGTGGGGTAGGTTACTGTATGAAGCTTATATTTGTGTTTATTATTAATTTTGTTAGTACTTATATTAAAATATGTTATGCATTATTATAAATAAGATTATAAAATATTACATAGGTTTAGGTAATATATCAAAAATGAATAACACGATTTTTTTGGTCATTGTGAGGGTGGAGGTTACCCCCTCCCCCTCCTTTGCGCACTCGCATGTCTGTCACCATCTGTCAAGTTCGGAGCGTCAGTATGTTATAATATAGAAATTATGTTCAAATGCTGTATTGCTGTCATTGTTTCTTTTTCTAAATTAATATTTTGACGATCAAATGATGAATATAACCACTATGACGCCAAGTTAACAACTCTTAATCGAATATCTCAATGTTTTCCTTGCATACCAAATATTGCAATACCACGGAACGAAATAAACAATTTCCTTTAACTTAGGGAATTAATTGATATTCCGTTTTTAAATAAAAACAAAATTTAAAATATAGTATATAACATTTCACTGTTTTAGCTTAATGCCACAATGTAATTTATATCATGTAAATGTATATAAGTATATTCAATTTTGTATACGACAGGCGTCACTGCGTCAGCCAGTATCGTACATTTCCGCTGCTGATGACGACACAGTAGSTAGGTACTAGGTAGTATTGCAGCAGACTTAGGAGTAGTGGGGGTCATAAAGATGTGTGGCAAACAACCAGCGCGTTGCTATGTAACAATACTGTCAATAGTTCAATACTACAATGCGACAAACTTAATACTTCTAAAGTTCTAACAACTAATTAATTTTTTGGACTTTTCTCTTTTGATGGCTCTTCTGCATACCGAGTACTCGCGTTAGAAAAAGAAACCACGAAAATCGGTTAGAACTTCAGATATAACTGTCATGAGAAATCGCCACACGTTGTAATAATATAATATAGAGATGTTAGATATAGGAATTAATTATGTGTTTATAAATGTATAGATTCTTCCTCTCATATTCACGAAAATAGACAAATTAACAAATTAATAATGTAGGTGGTTTTGAATGGAAAGATGAATGTATTGGTTTTATTTTTTTATCAAAAAACTTTTTTAATATTTAAATGAATGATTTTAGACAAAATCGATTTGTTGTATGTGTTATGAGCACCACGGTTTATAGGCTGTGATGCTGCATTATATTTTATATTGTGTCTTCAGTTATATCCGAAAGACGACAATTTGTTGTTCCGTTTTTTGTAGTAGGTGTAAACCAAATKATGTTTTGTTTATTAAGTGATTGTTTAGAAAAAAATACACACTTTAAATTAATATAATAATATATATACTTTATTAACTCTTAATGTTATGGTTATTCATTCTGCGTAAGCACACTATTTAACTCGAATGAGTTGGTCACTGGACTGAAAAGTTGACAAGATCGATATACAGTCGCCCTGTCGTGTATAAGCAAAAAATAGTTTAGATGCCTACATACAGTACATATCAGCATCCAGTGGCGTCAAAACATGTACTTATGGCAATTGCCATAGGTGACTTTAGTAGGTAGTAGGATTACCTTTGTCATCCCAAATTTATTTTGATAATCGCATTAGACATTAAGTTAATTGTGAAAATATAAAAACTATACTTGATGTGTGGTAATGTAATTATAAGAGATAGGTGGATGTCAAAATTGTTTGTGGATGTGTCTAAAGTCATAGGTAAATTTTTGAACTTTAGCACCACTGCCAGCATCTAGCCATTTACTATATGTCTATAGTATAGTTAACATAAAGACTACCTTTATTCTAAGTTTAACGTAGTGTTGGGTACATAACATATAATAACGAAAAACTGTGACTACAATGCTCTTAAATACAAAACTGTAATGTACATAATACATATACTTAAAATTTTAACCAAATAAAGAATTAGATATTTATTTTAATTTTTTTATGTCTGAAATTTGATTCTTAAACCTATATACATATAAAATGACTGATAATTTCGTTAATTGTTGTATTTCAAATTTTCAAAACATTGTTATTCATAGACTTGAAACTTTTCACCAYTTTATCATCATAGATGTCTTTATTGGAAAACAAAAAAAAAACCAAAGGAAAAAAGTACTACCAAAAAAAAGCCATGAAAATAAAAACCAAAATTTTATATTGAACATAATTAGATCAACAATATAATTTACTAGGTATTCTTTGGCCAGATATACTCGTACTTATATTATGTAATTAATAAAAAATATAAGTTATCGATATTGTCTTATAGTATAAGTCTAAAGATACAAGTTTTCAATATCGCGCAGTGGCGTGGTGAACTAAAAATATTCCAGAGGCGACCCCCCATATAGATGACCCACCCCACATGTATTTGCATGTAAATAAGTACAATCCTTGATACCCCCCCCCAATATTTGAAAAATCCCAGAGGCAATTGCCTCTGAAATTACTCTTTGCCACGCCACTGATTATGCGTATACTATTATCATAATCTTCTCATAATTTTTTTGTACACTGTTTTTTGACGTTTCTGTTATGCTACTCCTATTTGGATTTGGGCTAGCTTTGCTAGATGCTATCTAAATTGTTGGATGTGTTTGTCTAACTGATTTACTAAACCTATTATTCCACCCTTCGGTTACCTTTATGGCTATATACTTATACATATATATATATAAATTATATATACTTTATGTTATATTATATAAATTCATTAATCAAACGTCATTAACTATATCCTAACCATACTCATGAAAAGTGTTTCCTTAAAAAATAGCTTCTATGTTACTCTGGGGTGAAAAATGGTGCATATCTATTTTTGTTCATGTGCTAATGTTGTTTACAAAAACTACAGTGATTACTCATATATAAATCATATAATTGTATTTAACAAGACATTACTATATTAGCATACAGAAAATAAAACCAAAATGACAATATAATCAGAGAATTAACATAATCACAAAATATAATATAATCGATTCGCAATTATCAATATTATAAATTATATAAATTTATTATGCATACATTTAAATATGATGCAATTGTAAATTATTATTTTTTTCCAATTTATATAGCTACTATAGGTTTTATAATATGATAGTAATAATTGCTATATTATGATTGAATTTTCTTATAAATTATGTTTCAGAAAAAATATACGTACCTTTATTACATTGACCTTATAGTATAAGTTCTATGCTATATATTATTATATAAAAAAAAATACATATTTTTTATTGAGAAAAATACAAATGAGCATAATAAGTAAATTATGTGATATAATATGTAATCTGACAAGTTAATCTTTTAATCTGTCAAGATGTATGGTTGAAACCTTAGATCACAATATAGTATATGATCTAAGGTTGAAATTGGGGAAATATGATAAGATCATATAAAAAAAATAAAATAAATAATTTTACTCTTATAAAATTACATATGATGTTCTATAATATGTAACATTATTTAGTGGGAGAGCTGGTTGTAAGGGTGGAGACTTTTTAGAATAAGCTAGAAATTTTAATGCCATGATTGATTTTTTCCTTTCAAAATTTTGACTTATTTCTTATTCAATTATTTYGACTTCATATAGTGATGTTGTTTGTAATTAAATGGTGTGTTTTTCCTATTTCTAAATAAAATTTTAATTCTGGACTTAATCAAATTCTAAGATTAGAATAAAAATTTTAAGTGATGAATTATCAATATTTAAAACTATGTAACAATTAATACAGTAGGTACCCACAATCATGCACAGAAGTTTATTATTTTTTATGAAGATCAGATTTCAAAATTCTGTTGGTTGTAACACATAATTATTTGTTTTTTAATATTTTTGCCATAGATAATGGAATTATCTGAGGCAGCTCAAATACACCAGGGGTTACAAGAAAAAGATACAAATAATTCATTGCATAATATGAAAGCAATTTTAAAAACATGGAAGAATCGGTTGCCAGTTGTTGCTGATGACTTAAGTCATTGGAGTGATGTATTTGTTTGGCGACAACATCATTATCAGTTTGTTATTGAATATTGTTCCCGACCCGAACAATCCACAAATGCAGTATTAGGGGTCCATGCTTCTGCTCAAGTAAATACACTGTTTAAATTTATTTTTTCAAATAAATAATTATACTCTTTATTTCAGGCTATAATACACTTTGGCAAAGTTAGCCGTAAACATAATTTAACTGGAGTTTGTCTTCAAACATTATCTCGATTGTATACAATACCTAATGTACCTGTAGTTGATTGTTTCCATAAAATTAGACAACAAGTAAAGTGTTATATGCAAATGGCATCCATATCATCTAATAAACATGAAATTCAAGATGTAAGTGTTTATAATAAATATATAATGTACTTTTGATTGATCTTGAATAAATATTCTGAAATATTTATTTCCTGTTTTAGTGTTTGGAAGCTATTGAGAGAACAAATTTAAAATTCTTCCAAAGTGAAATGACTGCTGAATTCTATGCACTTAAAGGGATGCTACTTGGTCAAATTGGTAATTGTATTATTGTATTCTTGTATTCTACATATTATATCACTCAAATAATAATTATATTTTATGAATAATAAAGGTAAATCTGAAGAAGCGCACAAAGCTTTTTCAGCAGCTGTGCAATTACATGATTCTATGGTTAAAGCTTGGGCACTTTGGGGGGAGTATATGGAAGAGTTCTTTACTAAAAGTTATCCAAATCAGACTATGCAAACTGGTGTAGCTGCAATAATATGCTTTCTACAAGCTTGTCGTCAGCAAAATGAGTCTAAATACCGAAAATATTTGGCTAAAGTTTTGTGGCTATTAACTTATGATGATAAAGAATATTCATTGCTTAGTACAGTTGATACACATTTCAATGGAGTTCCTCCTGCATTATGGTTGCCTTGGGTGCCACARTTATTAACTACATTGGCAAGCGATGGTGGTTCTTTATTACAAAACTTATTGATACAAGTAAAAAATATAAAATGAAAATAAAATGTCTTGTTTATTATTATTATTATTTATAACTTTAAGGTTGGAAGATTGTATCCACAAGCCGTGTATTTCCCAACAAGAACACTATACTTCACGCATAAAATTGAATATAGAGAACGTTGCAGAAATTCTGAATTATTAGCTGCGGCCAATAAGCAATCACAAACTAATGATACCACACAAAGTACTAATTAATTTTAAATAATAATTAATTTTATTTAATATTCATTTAAATTATTTATAGATTCCACTTCTTCTCAAAGCACTGGATTAACTGATTCTTCATTACGTGCCACACCTGCAATGGTACGTTTTTCTAAAGTAATGCATCAGCAACGAGAAGTTCATCCAACAATTGTACTAACTTTAGAAGGCATAGTAGATCAGGTAAATATTTCTATCTTATCCTTTTATATTAACTAATATTCGGTATCTGTATTTTATAATATACAGCAGCTAAATAATGCATATAATATAAATGGTAACTTGTACCTAATGACTGTTAAAAATTTTGCTTAATATCAATTTAAAAAAAAAAAAAGCTTTTATAAAAAAAACATTAACTAGTTATTTCATACATAATTTCTAGATGGTTTGGTTCAGAGAAAATTGGTATGAAGAAGTACTGAGACAACTTCGTCTTGGATTAGCAAAATGTTATAACATTGCTTTTGACAGTCGAGGATCTGTTGCAGATGCCCAAATAACACCTCATACATTAAATTTCATAAAGAAATTAGTATCAACATTTGGAATTGGAATAGGTAAAATTTATTTTGCAATAATTTTATGTTTGAATTCTATGTTAAATTAAATAATTTATTTTCAGAATTATTAGCAAGTAATATGGCTGCAAATAGTGCTGCTATATCTACTAAAGGGTCATTCCCAGGTTCTGGATCTGAGAGTTTAGCTAAACGGGCTCAGACAACAATACAAGATCCAGTTTTCCAAAAAATGAAACAACAGTTTTCCAATGATTTTGATTTTACTTTGCCAGCAGCCATGAAATTACATCATATGATTTCAAAAATGAAAAAATGGATTAAAATATTAGAGACCAAAATTAGACTTTTACCAAAGTAATATAATATTAAAAAATTACCTCTCATTTTTATTTTAGTTTTATTGATTACATTTTATTTACAGATCCTTTTTAATTGAAGAAAAATGTAGATTCCTCAGCAATTTCAGTCTTCAAACTGCTGAAATTGAAATTCCTGGAGAATTTTTACTTCCAAAGGTATGCATTTGTATCTTAAATTATGTGAATTTGTGTATAAAAGCCTATTAGTTTATTACTATAGAAAAAAAAATCTAAAACTTACTTTAATAACTTATGTTTAAGACTTAATTAAGTGGTTATAATAAAACTATGAAAGGTTGCTAACTAAATACTTAAAGCTCTTTGATAGCCTTCCATCCAAGAATAATCAACTAAAGTAAAAGCATTTTTGATTGGTAACTAGTATACCTTTTCTGTCACGCCATGCCAATAGTATTACTAATATTTTTTATTTGTATATTTTTCAATTATAAATTCAAAATTATTTTATCCTCTACAACTTTCTTTTACGTAAATGAAATTTTACTAAAAAAAAGATTGATCATTAAATGTTAGTAAAATCCATAGAAAAATATTAATAATATAATATATGTACATTTTTTTGTATTATAGCATTCGCATTATTATGTTAAAATTGCTCGTTTTATGCCAAGAGTTCAAATAGTTGAAAAGCATAATACGTCAGCCAGAAGATTAGTTATGCGGGGTCATAATGGTAAATTATATTCTTATCTAGTAATGCATGATGCTGGTTTAGGTGATACAAGACGTGAAGAACGAGTCTTACAGTTATTACGGATGTTAAATCATTACCTGACCAAACAAAAAGTACATAAACCAAATAATTTATCTTAATTATAAATATTTAACAAAAATCAACTTGAAAACTAAAAAAGTATGGTTATTTTTTATTATTAGGAAACATCTCGCAGATTTTTATATTATACAGTACCCAGGGTTGTTGCTGTATCTCCACAACAACGGCTTGTTGAAGATAATCCTTCATCATTATCATTACTTGATATTTTTAAGTCAATGAGTACATCTCAACCTTATGATGATTGTATTGAACATTATTATCAACGCCTAGCTAATATTCAAGTAATATATTATTTTTAAAATAATTAAAGAAACAACCAAAAATTGTTTTCTCTATGTTAAATAATAATATGTGTCATAGCAAATGCACATGAATTGCCAAATATGAATTTGTATATGCTTGAAGATAGAAATAATAAATTCAGCTGTGACATTCTCTTAATTTGACAGTGATAAAMTTTTTTCAAACTCATTTTTTGTTTTTTTGTTTTTTTTTTTAGAATCAAGGAACTCAGGCAAATATTCAAATGCTTTTGGATGTATTTTTAGAAGTACAAAAAAGTTATTGTCAAAGCCATATATTGAAAAATTGGGCGACTCTAACATATGCTTCACCAACAGATTATTGGACATTTAGAAAAATGGTTTAAATTTTTTTTAAATACGTTATGAAAATCAATTTTTTGTACTTTTTAATTTATGAATTAATGATAATTTATTTGTCTAGCTTACACTTCAATTATCGTTATCATGTTTGGCTGAATATGTTTTACATCTTACCAGGATTAATCCTGAAATGATGTATATACACCAAGACTCTGGGTTGCTTAATGCTTCATACTTCAAATTTGATGTAGATGATAAAAAAGGTAATTATTGTCATATATTAATATTTGAAAAATTAATAAAATTAATTTAATATACATTTTAGGTGAACTAGTTTCCAATCGGCCTGTTCCCTTTAGATTAACTCCCAATTTTGTTGAATTAATGACTGATATCGGTAAAAATGGCCCTCTTACTGCGAGTATTATGGCAACAGCTCGATGTTTTAATCAACCTAACAATAAAGTTCAAGCTATTCTTAGGGCAATACTCAGAGATGAAATGATCACCTCTTATAAAAAAGTAAATCAATATATCCCTTATTTTCTCATGTAAATAATAATAAATATTTTTATATTTATTTATAGAAATTGGAAGATGAACTTTCAACTGATAGAGATGAAATATCTGGTGACATAATAATCAGCATGGTTACAAAAGCAGTTAATTCCATAATGCATAGACTAAATAGCCTAGCAAATTTTGATGGTGCTGATAATAAGGTAAGCACAATTGTAAGTGCAGCGTCATCAGTTGATAATTTATGCAGAATGGATCCAGCATGGTATCCATGGTTATAAACATTTTTATGAAAAATTTGTTTCTCAAATATTTATAGATCTCTTAGTTTACATTCACTACTAATAAAGTAATCAGAAGATTTTTATTTAACCTTTTTCTATTTTACTAATAATATTTTAATATTTTTTTATGTATATATGTATGTATAAATATAAATAATCGTGTAAGTGAATATTTATAACATGTAATTTATAATTTATTTTTACCTTAGATATTTAAGTACTACATTGTATTATAAACTAGTTCTTTATGTATGTATATCTGTATGTATGTATTGTATTATAAATTATTCAACATTTATCAATAATATTGTCTTTAATAAAATTTAAAAAGCTAATAAACATTTAAATCTATTGATATAAGTTAAACAAAATAATTTATTGAAAAAAACCAGTGCATAAGATAGTATGTAAAATTCAGTTCAAACTGCTATGCAACATATTTATTGTTTTTAAAACATTTTAACTTTTACTCATTTAAACTTTGTTAGTCAGTCTAAAATTACTGCTTTATTCAATTTGTTTTAAAATTATGAGATTCTTTCAGGTAATGATAATTATAAAATATTAGTGAAATTACTGTATGTTTATTATATTTTAATATACATTTTAGCAGATTTTCTATTGCATATAAATCCTATACCTAGTGATAAAAAACACTAAATAAAACACCATCTCTAAAAATCTAAAAAGAATAAAGAACCCAAAATGATTTATTAACCACAATGTGCTTATCACATTATTTTTYACTTTTATTAAGTGCACAAAAAATGCTGCAGCATTAAAAGTTCYAGTTTACCATTTTTTTAGGTTACGACTTATGAAATATAAGTTCATGAGAAGGGATCTACACTATATCTCCCTCCTTGTAAGAATGCCCATAAATTATTATGAATTATGATATATATTTGTGACATCAAAATACTGTGAACTCAGAGCATTGAACAGTATCTGTGTACATTCAGTTGGTTWTAAGGTGCTCAGAACTAATATGAATAATAAAAAAACAATAGTTATTATATAATTATATTAATTAACTATATTTTAATAATTTAATAAATAAGTAAAGAATATTTAACAATAGTTAACAAATAAAATAGTTAAATAATCAATGCTACTAGTTTATATTAGTGGAGATGCAGTGGGTGCAAGTTGTATTCAAACCCAAACAATCAGAATGAAATCCATGACCACATCTATTTAAAAAAAATACTTATATATAACTATGCATAGTATCATTGAACATAGGATGTTGACTATAATTAATAATAGTATTAAATACTTTTAAGTTATGATTAAAGCAATTGTATTACCTTAACCAAATATTACATTTTGGGGTTCTCATTTTTAAGGCTTAAGAGGACGACACACCTGCATGTGTTGTVTCCGTCTTACAAACGTATAACATAGCAAAATCTGTTTAGCGCGGGACAACTTTACTCCCTTTGTATTTATARTAGAATTACCAAAATTCCACAACGCATAGGTAAGAACTTTATCTGTGTCATAGCGTCGTTATTTTTTTGATAACATACATATAATTAAAGTTATAAGCTTAAGAAAATACATTTATTTTTTCATTAAATTACTTAAAATTATTGGTTTGTGCTATCAAAAGAATAACGACGCTATGACACAGATAAAGTTCTTACCTATGCATTGTGAAATTCTGAAAATTCTATTATAAATATTGAGGGAGAAAAGTTGTCATGCGCTAAACAGATTTTGCTAAGTTATACGTTTGTAAGACGGAGACAACATGCGGGTGTGGCGTCCTCTTAAACAGACAGATTTTCGTTTGATAGCTGATATTAATTGTACAAAATAAATTACTTTTCGCAGAATATATCATATAACTGGGTGGTAGACCTTTTTTGGATCATGTGCCAACATTTTGTAATCAAAGTATTTTTTAAAAAAGTGCATATGCTAGTTTAAATTTATAGGTACAATTTTTTCTTAGGGTGACAAGGGGTTTTATAAAAATTCATTGAAATTATTTTAATATTAGTTGTGTACATTATTGATCTTAAATGTTTTTAGAAAATACAAGCAGTATACTCTTTATTCAATAATATATTTTGATTAGAAGTAATTCATATTCATCATTGTCGAAAATAAACTTTCACATATAAGCTATGTATATTAAATTGTTGACGCAAATATTGAGTTTATATGAAATAAGTCATTCTTTTTCAAAAACAAAATATTATGTTGGGGAGCAGTGAGACAGGGGCGTCATTTGGGGGGTGGCTAGGTGTGCAGCGGCACCACTAATTTAAAAAATGTTAGCAATTGGCCCGCCATTAATACTCCAATGAGCCGTTATAACTGATATGATTTCTATAATAAAAATATAACCAATGTCCACTGCTTCAAATTAAAGATTTGTTTATCCCTCAAAAGAGTAAAAATATATTCACGAACCACCATGGGCAACGAAAGATTAAATGGTATAATGATTATTGTAGTTGAGAATGAAGAAGAAAGTATAATATTGATTTACAAGAGGCTGTAAATATTTTTGCACACATTAAAACCCATCGATATCCGCTTATTTAAATTTTAAAATAACTAATATTTTGATATATTGATGTTTTATATAAATTATGTTTAATTTTGGAATTAAAGAGTATTTTATTATTAATTATAATATACCTTATTTGCCTTTTTTTTTAAATAATAGTGAAATGGCTTTAGCTCATTACTGTAATTGCTTATATGTTATAAACTTTTAATTCTTTTAATTGYTAGTTATTTAAAAGTTGCATTGGTTGTAATAAATAATTTTAATTAGAATTATAAAAGCCAGAAGGGATAGAATATTTACATAGGTTATTTGCGCCTAAAAGTTTGCACAACTGGAAAAAAACTAAAATGACGCCCCTGCAGTGAGATGAAAACATTTATAATTGATTAAAATAAAAATATTTTCGTGGGCGTGAAAATTTTACCAACACACCACTTTTGACACATGTTTCATAGGTTTTCCATCCATGTCATATAATGTACTAAGCTTTATATTATAAAAAAGGCAGCAAAAAATATCTAATAGTTGACAACAAGAGTCAGTGGTGTGAAACATTATCTACTTGGGAACATAAAATTAATCTACAAACCTATATTTAATTACTATCCAAAAAAAATACACACCTGAATACAAACATTTGTTCCATAATTATTTTTTGATTACATGATGAACATATTACAGGATTACTGACGCCCTGTTTGGCTACATTTATTGCCTCGGCTAACTTGCTGTGTAAATCACCATGGAGCAATGTTTCAAAGGACTTCAATATATCTTTTTCATACTGACATTTATCAATTAAACCTAAATTAAATTATAAATTATTTTCATTATATCATTAAATAATATACAAAACTAATAAGTAATATATGTCACATTAAAACTAAACATAATTTAAAATGTTAGACAACAGTGTAATTAAAATGTTTAAAATGCAATGTGCAGATATACTCTCTGCCTCTCACCCATTATAAGGTTTCTGAAATGTCCAACAGTACCCTGGACCATTGTTGAACTATTCAAAAGTAAATGCATTTCAGTGGCTAAATTAAGATCACTTTTATCCAAAACTTTTTGTAAATGATCTAAATGATAAAAAAATCCAAATGAGATAAAGTAAAATTTAATAGGAAAGAAAATATTAAAAACAAAAGTACCATGTGATTGAAGACTAAGAAGACACTGTAAAATTGGTAACCATGTAGTTTTGGGATCAAGCACAGCAGATCCTCTTTGAGCTAATGCCACTAATACTTCAGTGCATTCTTCAACAGCATTTGCCTAAGAAAGACATTGTAATATTGCACTGACTAACTATGAGTACATTTTAGTAAACAGAAATTTAATATGGTAAGAGGGAGGGAATTGTCAACATAATTACATAAAATGTAATAAATAAATGTACTTTTCATGTTGCAAGGGAGAAGGCTTAGGCCCCCTAAACCCCCATATCTACAGCCCTGAATGAATACAAAATAAAATGTAAACCTGCAAAATGGCTTCTTGTAGTTTACTAAACAGTAAATCAAATGCTCCTTGGAAATCTCCTAATCTTTCCAGAAATATAGCTGTAACATTGTCTAATCCTGCTGTTTTTGTTGCCTAAGACGTATTAGAAAGCAGAATGCAGTTTAATAAAAAAATTCAGTACAAAAGTACAATACAATAATTCTTACAGCCATTGCTTCTGTTAGATGTAATGAATCATTCATTTTTACAAAATCCATCACAGCATTTGGTTCGTGTTGACATAACAGTTCCAAATAATGAGTGCATAGTTTCACATCAGAATTTACGTATGGTCTAAAAATATTATTGAATACACATATTAGTAAATTAAATATAATTCATTTTGACATTCAAAAATAGCGAAATAAAAGTAATACTGAAATATTTTACTTACATTGCACCTTTTAAAAAAAGGTATCTCTGATAATTTGTTTTAATTTTATTAGAAACATCATAAACAAGATKTGGATAAAATGTTCCAAATATTACTCCACATTGAACTGTATCTATTTCCAGTAAAACCTATACCTTATTATTATTAGTTTTATTAAATTTGGTTTAAATATATATACAGTGAAACTTCTAAATACCAGACACTCTCGGTCACTTAAATTTCGTCCAATATTCATAGATGTTCACTATTAAGAGGGGAAATACAAGTACACAGGTTRCCATTCATTTCTTCTGTTATTTAAAGATGTACACAGTTCACTATAGAGAGTTGTCCATCAAAGGAGGTTTCACAGTATATATATATATAAATATTAAAATGTCAAAAAAAAAATTATAATATGAATATTTATTGGAATAGTTACTAAATCTATAGGTAATGGGTAGTATACATTATTCTAGTTAAAATAAGCTGCAAAAATGTGTTTTAATAAATTGAATATAAAAATATTTTCATGATGTACATAGATAAATACGAGTACATAAAAATATATAGTGTAAATAAACATTTTGGCATAAGGGTTTTTTTTTCTAGACTTTCTTAAGATCTTCCATGTATCTACCATACTAATATGATTTTAACATATTATGAAACTACTATGTGACTATTATGCTAAATTGTTATAATGAACTTAACTATTGGA